TCCCGCAAATTTTTCCACATTTGTCTTTTGTCTTTTCACTTTATCATGATTTCTGTGAGTGTATGTGTCGGTTCACTTAGAAGTTAGGAAAGGCTTTTATTATATATATCTTTAATTTTTCGTTGTGATTTTAACAAAAGTTTACTGAAGAGCAACAATGTCAGTCTGGAGACTAAGGTGTGCCTGACCCAGACCATAGTCTTCACAATTACTTACTATGCGTCAGAGAGCTGGACGATGATAGAAAATTGATGCCTTTGAGCTGTGGTGCTGTAGAAGAGTGTTGAATATACCGTGGAATGCCAGGAGAACAAACAGGTTCGTCCTAGAGAGAATCCAGGCTGCTCCTAGGGGTCAAAGATTCTGAAGTCTGACATACTTTAGGGATGTTGCAAGAAGGGATCGGTCCTTGGAGAAGAACATCATGCTTGGAAGGGAGGAGGGACAGAGAAAGAGAGGGAGATCATTAACGAGATGGATTGATATAGTGATGGGTAATGAGGGTAGGTGTGTCAGTGACAGTAAAGTTTTCACAGCAGGTTTCAGGACTGTTGCACACAGGGTCACTATGAGTTGCAAGGGACTTGAAGGCACACAATGACAACACCACATATATATTATTTTTTTAATTATTATTTTAACAAAAGTTTACAGAAAGGTGCTGTCAACTGAAGGAAATGACAGATAGGGACACACAGGAATGGCTGTCAGGTAAGAAAGTGTGAAGGCAGGGGGCTAACAGTGGGAGAACTGCAGCCCCTATGCTATGCCTTTCTGGGTTTTTATTGAGAATCATCAGGAAGGTAAACAAAGGAAAATCACAAGGGAGTAGTAAATCAAAACGAAGGATCATGGGGAAGTCTTTTGTAAATAAGGCTCAGTTCTTCTCTATTGTTTATCTTATGTTTATCTCAGGAGGGAGGGATTCAGTAAATACAAACTAAGAATTATGTAGACCCTAAGGATTACCTACCTTAATGCCTACCCTTGTAAATATTTAAGGATTGCCTTAGTGCTACAGGGTGAATTCTAGCTTGTATTAGTCCTCCCTCATATCCTGATATGGCATTTGGTTCATTATTAATATTAAATTTGATATTCAGTTTCCCACAGAAAGGATGAGTTTTTATCCATTCATTGTTGCACATTTCCCTCCCTTCCCTTCTTTTTCCCCTCTCCCATCCCACTTTGCAATGCACCTCTTGTTCCAGATTGTGGTCATACATACAATGCCTAATCATACATTCCTTTCAGACAGTTCTTCCCCTCATCCATTCCAATGTAGTATTCGTTATCATTCAAATAGCAAAGAGCTAGAAGCAACCCAAGTGCCCATCAACAAATGAATGGATAGAAAAATTATAGTGCATTCATGCGATAGAATACACCACAGCACGGAAAAACAATGAACTTGTAAAACATTACACACCATTAGTTGAGCCTGGAAGACATTATGCTGACTGAAATATCTGTTACAAAAGACCAAATATTGTTTAACACCATTGTTATAAGACTGGCATGAGGGGGTGGGGAGACAATTGGAAAAGAGTAGATAGATGATGAACACGGCATTTATCATGACTTCTGAGAATCCATTTTCATGTTAATCTAATCAAAATTTTCCCCTTCTTTTCTTTGCTTTTCACCTAAGAAAGGCCTTCCCAATCCTGAAATCTGACAAAAATTTCTTCACATGTTTCTAGTTTAGATTGTTCACAGCTTTAGTTTACTTGCCTCCACAGTCAACACTCTTGGCACCAGTAGCCAGGAAATTAAAAGGCACATTGCCATGGGAAAGTCTGCTGTTAGGGACCTCTCCAAAGTACTGAAGAGCAATGGTGTCTCTCTGGAGACTAAGGTGCATCTGATACAAGCCATGGTCTTTGCTATCACTTGTAACAAACACATCAGAGAGTTGGGCAATGACTAAGGAGGGTAGAAGGAGAATTGATGCCTTTGAGCTGTGGTTCTGGAGAAGAGTATTGAGGGTTTTGACTGCTAGGAAAATGAACAGATTCATCCTGGAAAGGGTTAAACCAGGCGGCTCCTTAGAGGCAAGGATTCTGAGGCTCCGTCTAATATATTTTGGACATGTTGTAAGGAGGGACCGGTCCTTGGAGAAGGACAACATGCTTGGGAGAGTGGAGGGACAGCGCAGGAGGGGAAGGCCCTCTATGAGGTGGATTGATTCAGTGACTGGGGTAATCAGGATGGGAGTGTCAGAGACTGTGCGATTGGCACAGGATAGAGCAGAGTTTAGGGATGCTGTAAATAGGGTCGCTATGAGTCACAAGTGACTCGACGGCACATAACAACAACAACAACATTACTATGTGATATTCTTGACATTTAAAACTATATTTTGATCAAAATTAATTGAGTCTAATCAGGAAGACTTTTGGCAAGAATGACACCTTGCAATATTGATGTGAGTACCATCCTGCGGCCCTTGAATGGTAGGTTAGTATCAGGATTATCTCATTACTCTCTTTTGCACCATGGATAAAGTTTTCCAAAGTTAATGGGTAATTGTGTCATACATTGTAAACTTTCTTAGACAACTTTATACTGTTTAAATTTAATGTCGGATAGGTTAAATTAAGGTGTTCACTGAAATGAGCAAGAAAAGTTGTCATCACTAAAATATTTAAAACCCTCTTAGAAAATTCCTCCCCAACTTACACACCCACATGATTTTCTCTCCCCAGTCTTCACTTGTACATCTTTTGCCATTCTTTTTTCTTTTTCTTTTTGCTAGTTTGTTTGTTTTTAAGTTTCTAATTTGTCTTAAACTTGATTTTTTTAAAAAAATTGTGTTTTTAGTGTAAGTTTGCAGAAAAGTTAGATTTTAGTTCATTCATTGATACACATTTTCCTCCCTCTCCTTCCCCTCCTCCAATTCACTTTGTAATGCACACGTCTTGTGCCATATTGTTAATTTTCATACAATTAATGCCTGATCATCCTTTCCTTTCAGGTCATCCTTCCCTTTACCTATTACAGCTCAGTGTTTTTCATCTATCCACTCTTTTCCTGGTCTCCTCCAACCTTCATGTCCATCCTATTCTTATAATAGTGTTCTTATGTAGTATTTGTTCATCAACAAATAGAAAAACTGTTATGTTCACACAATGGAATATTATGCAACATTGAGAAACAATGAACCTGTAAAACCCTAAGCAATATGGATGAGTTTGGAAAACATTAAGCTGAGTGAAATAGCTCAGCCACAAAAGGACAAATTGTGCAATCCTTTAAATAAGGAAGACTTTTACAAAAATGAGATTGCATTATAACCTTATCATTTCCCTTTTCGATAATAATCATTCTTCCAGTCAATAAATATAGATCTCATGCACTACTTTAAATAAGTAGATATACTTATGCACACTAATATAAATAAGTAGTTGCACTTATGCACACTAATATAAATAAGTAGTTGCACTTATGCACACTAATATAAAGCCTAGAAGTAAATAATGAATAATTTGGTTGTAGAACTGAACTACAATTGTTAATGGAAGATAACAAATGTGCCAAGATTAAAAGTATTGTTGTTGTTGTTGTTGGTATGTGCCATCGAGTTGCTTGCAACTCACAGCGACTCTATATACAACAGCCACATACCCTGCTCTATCCTGTGCCTATCTTATTATCTTGGACACACCTAGCCCCATTACCCTAGTCACTGAATCAATACATCTCATTGAGGGTCTTCCTTTCTTGCACTATCCCTCCACACTTCCAAGCATGATGTCCCTATCCAAGAACTGGTCCTTCCTTGCAACATGTCCAAAGTATATTATCAGACAAAGCTTCAGAATCCTTGCCTCCACAGAGCAGCCTGGTCTCACTCCCTCTAAAAGTGTTATTAGAGGTTAAAATAACTTCTTAATATTAAAGAGAGATAGAAGAAAGCTAGAAAATCCAAATTCTTTTTCTAATTACAGTATTTACTCCATGTAATTCCTATCATGTTATTAAAACAATATTTCTCTGATTTAAGATTTGACAGCACAAAGCATGCCTCAAAAATATTTTAAATATTTTTATTAATATTAATATTTTTAAATGTTTTTAAGAAAGAAAATATTTATTAAATTTTTCTTCCTACTTATCTTAGACAACTTTGAATTACTAATGAATTTTGCAGCTATGAAACCATACAATGTAGAAATAATTTTTTGTTTTGTTTTGTTTTATGTGTGTACTGTCAAATTGGATCTGACTGGTACAGGAGGCGATTGTTCCTCCTTCTTCAGCAGAGCATGTGGTGGATTTGAACCACGCACCTCTGGGATTGCAGTGAACTTCCTTCCACTAGGCCACCAGAGCTCGCCAATGTAGAAATAATTAAAAAACACAAGCAACAGTAACAAAAAACCCAATACTATCCTGCTTAGTATTACCACAGTTAGGAAGGAAAATGGGATCCAGCAACTGCCAAATAGTTTAAACATTTACACAACCTGAGAGTTCATTGTCAAACATTTATACTTTTCGCGTAACACTTCAATCAATGAGCTGTGGTATTGGAAAAGAGCACTAAATGAACATCCCATGGACTGCCAAAAGAACAAATAAATACGTCTTGGAAAAGGTGCAGCCAGAGTGCCTTTTGGAGGCAAAGATGATGAGGCTTCTTGGCCTCATATACTTTGGGCATGTTGCTGGGAGTGGGACATGATGCTTGGAAGAATGAAGTGTTGGTGAAGGAGAGGAAACCCCTCAACCAGGTGAATTGGCACGGTGACTGTCGCAATGGGCTCTAGTGTGTCAGAAAGTTTGAAGATGGCATAGAATAGGACGGGGTTCAGATTCATTATTCGTAGGGTCACTGTGAGTTGTGCTTGGCCCGACAGCACCTCACAACAACAACATGAAACTTCATTATATAATCAGGATTGCCAGCTTCTTCCTCAAAAATCCTTGAATAAAAATTTACCATCTACTGTGCAAGTATTTATTAAGCACCTTCTTTGTCCTAATTAATTTTCCAGGTGGTGGCTGGGAAAAAATATTCTATTGTCTTCACAGCCAAAGAAACTATGTGTTCCAAGGAAAATAAGGAAGAATTATTGACTAAAAGTTGTGACTTCAACACAGATGGAGTGAGTAGATTTGAGACTGTCTGCTTAGTGTCTTGAAATGTATTTTATTTTTAAAGAATCACTTGTCTAAATATCTCATTAATAACACTGTTTTTGCTTTCGGTTTCTGTGTTCATGAATAGAAAGCTCTAGAATGTAAAGCTGATGTTTATGTGATACCTTGGGAGAGAAAAGTTTACCCTACTGTCAACTGCAAAGCACAAGTCTTGGTATGATTTTCATTATTATCTGCTGGGGTCGGGTTTGCTCATTCTGAAAAGTCATTCCTTGTGATGGAAAATTAATTTTTTGTGAAGAGAATTAGTGAAAAAAAATCTTTTAAAAACGAGAAGAAATCTCCTATTTCTGTGCTGACTTCTCTTTTCTATAGCTAAAAGAGAACAATCATTCTCTTAGTGTCTTCTTATCTCATCAGGATGTCTGTAGGCTCTTGGTTCTGTGTTATATAACCTTTGCTCACATCATAAGAACTTATGAGAGCCCACCCCACACAGACCAGTTTCTGGGGTGTTGACTCCAGTTCATGACAAAATTATATATGTTAGAATAGAGCTGTGTTTTATAAGATTCTTCTTCTTGAGGTTCTTCTTTTCACATTTATTTCTTTTCTTTAGTCAAAATGTACAAATTGAGTGGCTATTTCTCCCAAGCACATCACCAAGGCTTCCTTCCTGGGTGCCTCTAGAGGGTGGACTTGAACCTCCAATCTTTCAGTTATCAGTTGTTGTTGCTGTGTGCTGCCAGTGCCTTAGAAATTTTCATCATCATCAGACTTCTGCACCACACTTAGCAAATCAGAATCTGTACTTTGACAAGATTTCCCAAGGGATTTGAATGCACTTAAATGCAACTGAGGAGCATTAATTTATATTAATTTTTAACTCTTAAAAGAAATTAGCAAAGTAGGTAATCCTCTTCTGTTTGTCAAGTGTGAGAAAACTTAAAAATTAGGAGGATTCTGAGATCCCAGAGGGAATTACAGTCTTAAATCCTTTCTGTACCAAGAGTTTTCTGCACATTTTTTCATTAGTCTTGATTACAGTCTTTTGAGACTGGAGCTGTTATTATTTCTATTTGACAAGTGACAAAAGTGAAACATCAAGAGTTTGCCCAAGGTCGCATGCAGAATATAAGCAATGGTGGTCATTTCAAGCAGAGGTCAAATCAGAGCCCAGGTGTCCTACGATGATGCTGGTACCTAGCAGAGTCCAGTTTGTTTGGCTCCAAGGCCCCTTCTTTTTTCACCACTCAACACTGCTCCGAGCATCATTTCTCACCCATAGTAAAAACACAAATAGAAATGACCTACAAGTTGTCACCTTTCAGTGCAGGTTGTCTCTTCTCCCTGTTCCTCATTTAGGTTTTCACCATGTGTAAATATGTATATAGAGAAACTGAACATTATACAGAGGCTGCATCTCAGACTTGTGAACATGTTTCATCATCATTATTATCATTATTACATTAGTTTATTTTAAAAATTCTAATACATTTTTTCCATAATGAACATGTTTTAATATGTTAATGTTAAATTTTAATATATTTAAGCCAAATGTTTAAGGCATTGTTTGTAAAGTTCTTAAAGTCTCCTAGGATAAAAGCAGTAATGATGGTATTAGAAATAGCATCAGTTTATAAATCATGTGCAATAGACTTGCAAAATCTATGATAAGCTGTCATGATTTCTACAGATTTTGTAATTGATCCACCTGGTTTTCCACATGAAGAGGGGGGCAAATGTCTGGGTGACTTTAAAGCATTGTTAAGAATGATAATCAATATCTACAGATTTAGAGATCTAAAAAGAGGGAAGGCTGTTCTCCATTTTCACCCTTTCTGGAAAATTTAACGTTAAAATCTGGCCAAGACCTGCACCATAGTATACCAAGATATCATTGCTAGAATCTCAATCTCTTCCCTCTTCGTTGATTATGTGGTTTTCACTGTAATGCATTCATCTTAATATTTCCTGTTAGGACGCACTCAGGAAAAGGCCTCCAGGTTTTTCACCTTTCCGAGCTGCAGGGAATCAAGCGGGAACAAAAGTAACAACTGTAAGTCCACCCCACACTTCCATGGCATCTGTACAAGCTGAAGAGCAGGATCCCAAAAAAGACCAAAGACCCACTCGTGGGCATAGCGGGGGCCATGGAAAGCCACTAAAACATGGCATTGTCCATGGCCATAAACATGAGCATGACCAAGGCCATGAGCACCAAAGGGGACATGGTTTTGGCCATGAACACCAACAGCAACATGGCCTTGGTCATGGACATCAACAGGACCTTGACTACGATCTTGAGCACCCACGGGGACATGGTTTTGGCCATGGAAAACAAAGGGGACATGGCCTAGCCCATGGAAAGAAACATGAGCGTGGCCATGGCCATGGAAAACATAAACATAAAGGCAAAACCAATGAAAAGCCCAATGGTGGGAGTACAGAGCATTTGGCAAGCCTGTCTGAAGATAGTACTACATCTTCTGCACAGACACGAGAGAAGACGGAAGGGCCAACACTCTTGCCTTTCTTTTCCCAGCCAGTAAAAGCAGTCACAGTTTCTGACTTCGAGGACTCAGATCTCTTTGCACCTGTGACATCTAGTACACCACCACCTCTCACTGAGGATGATGATGACTGGATCCCCGACATCCAGTTAGACCCAAACAGCCTACCATTTAACCTGATAGCTGATTTTTCGGAAACAACCTCCCCAGCATGTCCTGGACGCCCATGGAAACCAGTTAACAGGATGAAGCCAGCTGTGGAAGCCAAAGAATTTAATGATTTTGATCTTGCTGATGCTCTTTAATAATTTATGCAACCATGAGTATTTTTTCCCCTTAATCTTTTATTATCCCTTCTCCACACTGTCCAAACATGAAGACTCAGTTACATTGCATCAAACCCCAGGAAACTTCACAGCAGCTGAGAGAGAAGTGGGGAAATTCCCAGTTTGGAAGCTATTGCTCTTTATGGGCTTACATCAAACTGTGTGAAAAATCTACACCAACTCTAGTCTTCCTCACAACTTTTCTAAGCTAGTAGAGAAAATGGACAAACTCATTTGCCTCCCTGTGTACTATGTGCTTTTCTAATAACAAATGTGTCCCTTAAAACCTGCAGTATCGATTTCCATGGAAAGAACCTTGACACGCTAACTGAACACAGACACTTGGCCCCTGAACACATGTGAAAGTAAGGGAACTCAAGAATCATTTTCCTTTATGAAAAGGAAAGAATATCTTCAGAGGTCAAAGAGAGACAAGAAGAGGGTGAAAGGGCAAAAAATGGGAGAATAATTTAATTTTCTGTTTTTAAAATGGGCTGATGATATCATATAGTTACTCTCATATGACAAAGTAAAGTGATATATTTCCTTTTCTGGGTGTTTCTCATAGATCAATAAATCCTGCTTACTCATTAACTACTCTTTGCAAACAGGTCTTCCAAACAGAAATTTCCTGTTTGCTTATTTTTATTTCTTTTTTCCCTCCCACAAGGCCAGACTGAGTAATCCTTATATTTTAGAAGTTTAGTGGTAAAGAGGCGAGAAAAAGGAAGTAATGTGGATGCATACTTGCTAAGGAACCATTTTTATAATTGACAAAATAATATGGGATGTCTTGTTAAGAAATTTTGTAAGAAAAATGTTCTCCAGCCTCACTCTATAGTTGAATTATCTTTTTGCTACCACATTAAACAGTACTGACTTTTGGCAAAAGAGTCTAGCGGGACAGCTTTTCATCGCAGTAGGGTGCAAGGTATAAAATGTACATTTTATAATCTTTGCTGCACTTGAGCATAGAGAAGCAAGTCCCTAAATTTATGGAGCTGCATTTGCCTTTGAATATATGTGTCCTGCTACTTCACTTTATTTGATGTATTCCTTTTTCATTTCGTTCAAATAAATATTAGCTATACTTTCAAATAAAGAACCAGTGATGACAGAAAAAAAAAAGTCTCACCTGGTCAAGTGGTGGCTTCGTTGTCCTTTCTGAAAGGCAGTATTGGGTTAATGGAGTTTTACTGTACTTACAGAGGCAGCTAATGCTCTGCGAGTATAAGGGCCGACCCCAGAAGGCAGGGACAGAATCACCGTCTGAGAGGGAGGTCTTTTGACCAGTGGGCAGCAGCTTCACGCCTGGCACCACAGCGCCAACAGCCTCTGTCAGCAGCTCTGAGTGGAAGGACAAGAAGACGGGGTAGAATTTACATAGAGAAGAACCCCTACTTATAATTCTGTTCCCGGATGAAATAAAGCTCAGCTTTGATGTTCTCACTCCTGCTTAATTGACGGCGGTCTCCTCCTTTCAACCATGTCTGTCCTGCAACAAATTCAAGCTGCCCAGACTGTGGGCCCCAATGCTGCCACAAGTTGCAGTCTAAGTTAAATCCTCTGCAAACAAGATGAGGAGTCCCTTAGAGGAGCTTCCCTCCCTCTAGACCTCATCACAGGAGCTGTAGCCAGGCTATCTGTGACCAGTCGATTTTCACTCGTGGTGACCTCATGACTGGTCGAGTTAGAACTGTTCCAGAGAATTTCCTTGGCTGCAATGTTTATGAAAGCAGGTCTCTAAGACTCTCTTTTGGAGTGACACTTGAAAGTTTGAACTACCAATCTTTAGATTAGCAGAAAATCAAACAAAAAGTTAGGGGCCCTCTAAATTAAAGGTTTGAGAACAAACAAACACAAACTTATCCTTTCAAGTTCATCCCAACTCATAACAACTTGACAGGACAGCGTACAATTTCCCTTTGGGAAAACCAGCTGCCACATCTTCCTCTAGTGACTTCAGGGTTCACACCTCCACCTCACATATGACACTTTAGATGATCAGCAAAGCACTCAAACACTGTGCTCTTTTAAGTCAAGGGTTAAAGATGCCTGAGTGGTGCAAACAGTCTGATTGGCTGGTAAGAGAGAAGTTCTATTTCAAATACACTTGATCTTGTCACAAAAGCCTATCTTTAGATACTACAGCCAAGCCCTACACTGTAGAAACAGGATTTGCCCAAATGAATATGCAAGCAAATACAAAATCATGAACAGCAAATACATACATAAATCAATAGAAGAGCTTAGGGATAATATTCTCTTCAATCACGAGTTGCTGCTGCTGTTGTTGTTGTTGTTGTTGTTGTTGTGTGCCACTGAGTCAACTATGACTCACAGAGACCCTGTGAACAATGGATGTGAACCCTGCCCCATCCTGGGCCAGCCTCTCCATCTCTAATGTACTTGAACCCGTGGTTACAGTCACTGCGTCAGTCTATCTTGTTGAGGGTCTTCCTCTCCTCTGTCCCTCCATCTATCCGAGCAGTCTTTCCCAAAGACTGGCCCCTCCTGAGAACATACTCACAGCACGTGAGACAGAGTTTAGTGGACAGTATTCCCACCCGCAAACTACGCTCTCTGTGCTTTCCCTTCTTCTCTGCTTTCTGTTCTCATTCTCAGGCCAAAGTCATGAGTCGTCGGACTTATTTATTATTGCTTTTTTTAATGATCCAGAGAAATTATAAAAAAAAAATAGAAGAAAGTAAAAAAAGTTGTCTGTGTTCATATGACTTCTTCTAACTTCTCATTACCAGAAAATATCTAACTTCAAAATAGTTTAAAGAAAATTAGGAACATTTCTAATTTGAATACGAGAAAACAGAAGACCAACAGAATAAAAATGATCACATGTTCACAGTTTCTGTAATAAGCATAATTCTGGGGAAAGTCCTCCCATCACTATTTTTCAATTAAGAAACAAGAAGTGAGTGACCTCCCCAGGGCCACAAAGTTAATAGGTGAAAGAGCTGGCACTCAAACTCAGCCCTTTTGAACTCTATTCATGTCATCTGGAGGCTCTTAACAATAATATTGTCACTAGAAAAACATCCCAAGATAAATTCTAATTCTAAGAGCTTCATTATCCCAATGCAGAATGTCCCTGTAGAGTACTTTTTTGAGGCTGGTGCTGTTCTTAGTAGTGCTCAGGGTAAGCTATAACTGAGTCAAGCAGCAGCTTTAACTGGTTACCATATGCTTCTCACCTGGTCCTAAAGAGAAGGAAAATCATTTAAAAAGGCAGCATTATGATAGACAATGAAGAGATTGAGATTGTCAACAGCTTTCATTTACTTGGCTCCACAATCAACACTCTTGGTACCAGCAGCCAGGAAATCAAAAGACTAATTACATTGGGAAAGCCTGCTGTCAGGGACCTCTCCAAAGTACTGAAAAGCAATGACATCGGTCTGGAGATTAAGGTGCACCTGACACAGACCATAGTCTTCACCGTTACATACTATGTGTCAGAAAGCTGGACAATGACTAGGAATAATAGAAAAAGAATTGATGCCTTGGAGGTGTGTTGCTGGAGAATAGTGTTGGATATACCATGAACTGCCAGGAGAACAAACAGCTTCACCCTGGGGAGAGTGAAGCCAGGCTGTGCTCCTTGAAGGCAAGGATTCTAAGGCTTCGGTCTCACATACTTTGTGAATGTTGCAAGGAGGGACCGGTACTTGAAGAGGGACATCATGTTTGGGAGGGGCGGGGTGGAGGGACAGTGCAAAAGAGGAAGACCCTCAATGAGATGGATTGATTTAGTGACTGGGATAATGAGGTTAGGTGTGTCAGAAACAGTACGATTGGCAAAGGAAAGTGTAGGATTTAGGGCTGTTGTACATAGGTTGCTATGAGTCGCAAGTAACTTGATGGCACATAACAACAACAAGTCCTTTCCCTCAAAGAGTTTACAACTACATCATCAAGTTAACACAAGAGCACAGAAGATGGAGATAAAATCCAAGTTATAGACATCAGGGGCACATGATGGGACCTGGTCTGGGACAGGAAGACATTGAAAAGGTGGAGGGACCAACTTGGCAATGCAGAAAGAAGCCAGGATTTGACTGCAGCAGTCGGTGAGAGTCTCTGGGAGGTGCAAGTGGTAAATCTATTCAGGAGCTAACTTAAAGGTTAGCAGTTCGAGGCCATCCAGAAGAAAAGCCTGGCCACCCGCTACTGAAAAACCCACCATTGACAATGCCTGGAGCACAGTTGTCCTCTGACACTCACGGGGTCTCCCTGAGTCAATTTAGTGGCAGCAGGTTTGGACAGTAGGCTGCTACTTACAGTTCTCAAGCCGTTATTGTTTTCGTGTACTGAAGAGTCAAAATCAACTCAGAGCTGAGCTGGCTTAGCTTCTGTGATCACAGGAACAAATAAGCCTTCACGAAAAGACAAACTACAATTAAGGATGTGTTATTACTAATCTAAACTGTAGTGTTTGTTGTTGTTGTTGTTATGTGCCATTGAGTCGCCTGCGACTCATAGCAGCCCTATGTACAACAGCCCTAAACCCTGCTCTATCCCTTTTCAATCATATTGTCTCTGACACACCTTACTTCCATTAACGCAGTGACTGAATCAATCCACTTCATCGAGGTTCTTCCTCTCTTGCGCTGTGCCTCCACCTCCCAAGCATGACGTCCCTCTCCAACGACTGATCCCATCTTGCAACATGTCCAAAGTATGTCAGACAAAGCTTCAGAATCCTTGCCTCCAAGGAGCAGCGTGGCTTCACCCTCTCAAGGGTGAACTTGTTTGTTCTCCTAACAGTCCATGGTATATTCAACACTCATCTTTTTTTAAAAAAAATTTTTTAAATTTTATTATTTGTGTGTGTGTGTACCGTCAAATCAGATCTGACTGGTACATGAGGAGATTGTCCCTCCTTCCTCGGCAGAGCACCTGGTGGATTCGAACCGTGCACCTCTGGGATTGCAATGCAGCTTCTTGCCACTATCAATACTCAT